CCCGTATACAAGCCTGCGCTGGCAACAAACGCGTTCTGTTTAGCGTTTAATCATGTAACAAACTGTGGTGGAAATGGATTGAAATATATATTTGCTTTTGCTTTTGAACAGTGATACCAACCGGAAATATGCCGACACCAACCCCCGAAGCCACGTCAGTAAAGACTACAGAAGCTACGAGCCCTCCCATTCATCACCAATTCATATTTACCAGCATGATTGGGGATATTCTTGTTACGACGGATTCTAACCTCACACTTCACGGAAATGCCACTTTGGTGGAGGGGCAACGAGATAAGGAAAAGGTCATCAGCATTACAGGACCCAAGCAGTGGATTGAAATGAATACGGAAACGATTGGTTGTCTCTCAGACATGAATACCTGCCACAATGGGATCACAGCACAAGTTGAAGTAATGTTTCTAGAAATGAAGAACACTGCCACGATATATTTGCTTGATGCCGGCAATAGTCTTGTTACGTCGCCACTTGTCCTTTATTACCAAGGAATACAGCTTCATGCCACAATACACGTGGGAAAGAGCATGTGGTCGGTTTCGACCAATTACAATATCACCACCAACCAATCACATGTGTACCAAATTGTTTGGAGTATGCAGAAAGGAATCCAGCTTGTCGTCGATGGAGTGGTCTTGACTGAATCTGTCAATTCAACACAGACAAATACCAGTGCTAACACTCTACAAACACTGGTGATAGGAAAGGTTGAGAATGTAACGTCTACCCACCTTCAAATTTCTCAAATTCAAGTATGGAACGAAAGGAAGGAAACTGACAACACACGGACGACTTCTGTGCGTAAGTATTTACATTTTGTAATACTTCTGATGTTGAAACTGGTAATTATCAATTCGCTGAGATTTACACATTTTTTCATCCCGTATACAAGCCTGCGCTGGCAACAAACACGTTCTGTTTAGCGTTTAATCATGTAACAAACTGTGGTGGAAATGGATTGAAATATATATTTGCTTTTGCTTTTGAACAGTGATACCAACCGGAAATATGCCGACACCAACCCCCGAAGCCACGTCAGTAAAGACTACAGAAGCTACGAGCCCTCCCATTCATCACCAATTCATATTTACCAGCATGATTGGGGATATTCTTGTTACGACGGATTCTAACCTCACACTTCACGGAAATGCCACTTTGGTGGAGGGGCAACGAGATAAGGAAAAGGTCATCAGCTTTACAAGACCCAAGCAGTGGATTGAAATGAATACGGAAACGATTGGTTGTCTCTCAGACATGAATACCTGCCACAATGGGATCACAGCACAAGTTGAAGTAATGTTTCTAGAAATGAAGAACACTGCCACGATATATTTGCTTGATGCCGGCAATAGTCTTGTTACGTCGCCACTTGTCCTTTATTACCAAGGAATACAGCTTCATGCCACAATACACGTAGGAAAGAGCATGTGGTCGGTTTCGACCAATTACAATATCACCACCAACCAATCACATGTGTACCAAATTGTTTGGAGTATGCAGAAAGGAATCCAGCTTGTCGTTGATGGAGTGGTCTTGACTGAATCTGTCAATTCAACACAGACAAATGCCAGTGCTAACACTCTACAAACACTGGTGATAGGAAAGGTTGAGAATGTAACGTCTACCCACCTTCAAATTTCTCAAATTCAAGTATGGAACGAAAGGAAGGAAACTGACAACACACGGACGACTTCTGTGCGTAAGTATTTACATTTTGTAATACTTCTGATGTTGAAACTGGTAATTATCAATTTGCTGAAAGGTACTCTGTCACCAATTCTGTTTATATATTCGAACTCCTGGGACACAACCTGTAGTGGTGTATTTCTATGTCATATGACATATGATTGTTGTTCTGGTGAAATTGACAAATATGTCAAATGTAAATTATAACGAATAATGTTGTTAAAGTACTGTTTTTTCTGTTTGTTAAAGGATATCCTTTGGCAACAACATCAGAGTCGACGCCAAAGATTGAACCAAACATTAATTCAATGGAGTTAACATTTACAGGGATTTTCGGAAATGTTGTTACCACAGACAGTTTGAACATGACTGTGAATGGAATTCCATCACTTTTGAATCATGACAATGTGACGTTCCTTAATCTGAATGGACATAACCAATGGTTAGAGATACCTAAGGAAAGTGTTCCCTGTGCGTCTGGGCTAAGTGGCTGCATTTCAGGATTTACATTTCAAATTGACATTAAGGTCAAAATGATGCCTCCTCTCAAGAAAACAATATTTATCTCCAGTGGAAATGACAATCCATCATCAATTGCCATGTTCTATAAAGAGAAAATCATGTTTGCCACAGTGAAACAAGGGCAGGAGAAATGGATGATCTCAACCCTATACACCATTGACCTGGATAAGATTTATACATACCAGATATCGTGGAGTATGTCCGAAGGGGCTAAGCTCTATGTGAACAATGTCCTTCTTGCTGTACAGCAGGCTCCCGTCACAATCTCCCCAAACGCAACGATACCAATTCCTTTTTCCAATATTCGCATTGGAGGCAGTCAAGGCAGCTTTCTTGTCACCAATATCCGTACTTGGACAACAACCAGGACGATTCTTTCTGAAAAGGGCATTCTTCAAAGTAATGTTTATTTTCCTGACTTTACTTCTGTCTTTGAGTGTGGCATCTTTCAGCAACTGCTTGGTGAAAGGTACTTTGCAAGTGTGTGAACTATCTTTAGTTGTGTACAATAACACAAATGATTTGCTAACCGCGTATGCAATGGTACATAATCGGTGAGACTATGATGACGAATTTCTACTCAGTATTCATGATCATAAGAACTTAATGGCAAATATATTTTTTTCTCTAATCGTTATATATTTATAATTTCTTCACTTTCACATCATGATAAATGTGTTCTATATGTATTTACTAATTTGTGCTTTTGTGTAACAAGAAATATATTGGAACTTGACAATATACTATGTCTTGGTACAGAAGAATAATGAAGTGTAACCTGTGGATATTTCAATATGGGGTTGCTGTGTGTGTTGCTGAGCACGTGTCGTAACTAAAACGTACCCTAGTGTGAAGTGCTGCGTGGTGTATTTTACATAATCCCAAGATACAAAATGTATGTCTAGCTGATGTACGTCTATCTGCTTCTATCCATGTTTTCTATACGTAAAGCGACAACATACAATTTGTATCTAGTTATTTATTTCTTACAATGTCAATAATCTGCCATGAAAAATATATAATTCTATTTCTTGACCGACATTAATGTAAGAATAGATAATAATGCACGTATTAGGGCAACGAACTTAAGTGTAAGTATAGCTTATTATGTAAATAGTCTTTGATTGACATCCATAAATGTAAATATATCTCTATCATATGTTTCACAAACTTAATAAACGCACGTGATTAACCAACTTGGTGCTAGCATAGTGTATAATGTACACGTGGGGCTATCAGCCTTAATACACATATGGTTCCCAAGTTTAAGGGTTAGTATTGTATATAATGTACATATGTAGTAAGTGACTGAATTGTAAGTATGTAATCAAATCCACAACCTAAACTACCTAAATAAAGAAACGTAAACACCAGAGAACAATCAGTCGAAAAATCGTCGAAAAAGACTAAATATAGATGGTAATTATGTGAATGGATCTTTGAAATTCAGTGATGACAAGAGGTGTTCACGAAGAGGGTAATCATGTCCTTTAAGTGAACACTTAGTGTATACTGTACATGTGTGGTTGAATAGGTATACATGTATCATATATCTTTGGTTAACCAACATATTACATATGTGGGAAATCCTCATGTACTGTTGTAAATGTATATACATTAATGCACATTTTTGGTGAACTATATGTACTTAAGTTAATGTGTATACTATTATGCACATAGCTGGTTAACTATATGTACTTAAGCGAATGTGTATACTATAATGCACATATCTGGTTAACTATATGTACTTAAGTTAATGTGTATACTATAATGCACATATCTGGTTAACTATATGTACTTAAGTGAATGCTTATACCATAATGAACATATGTGGTTAACCTATATGTACTTAAGTGAATGTGTATACTATAATGCACATATCTGGTTAACTGTATGTACTTAAGTGAATGCTTATACCATAATGAACATATGTGGTTAACCTATATGTACTTAAGTGAATGTTTATACCATAAGGCACATATTTTGTTAACTATATTTACTTAAGTGAATGTTCATTCTTTAATGTGCATATGTGGTTTACCTAAATCTATTTAGGTGAATGTTTATACCATAAAGCACATATGTGGTTAACCTATATGTACTTAAATGAATGTTTATACCATAATGCACATATGTGGTTAACCTATATGTACTTAAGTGAATGTGTATACTATAATGCACAGATGTGGTTAACCTATATGTACTTAAGTGAATGTTTATACCATAATGAACATATGTGGTTAACCTATATGTACTCAAATGAATGTTTATACCATAATGCACATATGTGGTTAACCTATATGTACTTAAGTGAATGTGTATACTATAAAGCACATATATCGTTAACCTATATGTACTTAAATGAATGTGTATACTATAATGCACATATGCGGTTAACCTGTATGTACTTAAGTGAATGTTTATACCATAAAGCACATATGCGGTTAACCTATATGTACTCAAATGAATGTTTATACCATAATGCACATATGTGGTTAACCTGTATGTATTTAAGTGAATGTTTAAACTATATTGCACATATGTTTTTAACCTATATGTACGTAAGTGAATGTATGTACAATGATGCACGTATGTGTTTGCACAGTTATCAATATGTCATTGTCAGTACATGATACGAACCATGGTCCTTTGTGTTATCACAATGTTTGTTTTTTAACTAGTGTGAATGTTTATTCGGCTCAATTGGCATGATTCTCAATCAACATATATTCTGCACGTGAATCTTTGTAAATGGGAATCTCCTGTTTTTTCAGCTCCGGTGGAAACGTGCAATGGCACACCTGTCAGCTCGACAAAGACTACCATCGACATGTCCTTCTTGAGTGTAACTGGAAGCCGATTAACGACCAAGGATATGGTCATCACGGTTCATGGAAGTCCTTCAATTATCCAGCAAAACGATACGCTATCATTGGATATCACTCAGCCTGGACAGTACGTTGAAATTGAAACAAGGTGCCTCCCTTGTTTCTCTGACCTTGAACATTGTACTACGGGCTTCACTGTTCAGCTTGTGGCCACATTCACTCAACTTGTGACCACAGAGAGAATGTATATTGTCTACACGGGCCAAGACAAGCCCGGGTATACAGGAGTAAATCTTTTTTATGAACGTGGACATTTGAAGGGGGTCGTTGCATCCGGTCAGCATAAATGGCCAATCAACATACCTTACAAACTTGAGATCAACATACCTTATATATTCCAAATAAGTTGGTCTCAAACATCTGGATATCAGTTGTATGTTAATCAATATACAACCCAACCAACACAGTCGCTTCCAGTATTCGTCGATGCGACTAAAATGCCCTCATCATTTCTGATAGGTAAAGAAGTAAATTCAAACAAGACTACTTCCATGGTTATAACTGACTTCAAGTTATTTATGGCAACGAGAACAGAGCTTGTTAACCTGGGAATTCTTCAGCGTAAGTAAATTATTTGAAGATAACAACATAAAGTACACATTTATGTATAATGAAAGTGAGTGCATATTCGCGATATGGGGGGTTATCGATTTAAGAGAATTTTAATAGTTTAAGAATGTTATTTATTGTATCAAACAATTACATGCTAGAAGATAATCAAATATAACCAGGGCGAAATGTTGCTCCCCGTGGATTCTTAAAGCCTCTCAATGTATAACGTTTGTCTCTTAATACATGATTATCATGTCATACACAACTCGAATGAAGCGATATTGCTTGAGTTCTCTAAAGGAATCAGTAAGGCTATGCTGCATTATGCTCGATGGAATGTTTAGGTTATTTATACGATGTTTCACATCAATCTGTTGTCTGTAATTCAGCTGCTCTGGCAACTATTTCTACAACGACGCTGGTTCCGCCTACCTCACCACCTCTACCGGAATTCTTATGGAGGTTTGAAAACGTGACATCCAACTACCTAAATTCCAGTTACCTTAAAGTAATCATCCACGGAGGTCAACACGGTACCTCGTCAGGTTTGGTGTTCACGGCAGACGGGCATTACTTAGAGATTCAAAATCTAGGTAAGAGCTGTCTAACAGACATCACGAAATGCAAACATGGACTGACAATATCTGTAGAGGTGGTTTTCACAAAGCTCAATGAAAATACGGTTGTGTTCACAACAGGGGGAGAGGCGCCCGACCTCCCTGGCATCTCGCTGTTGTATAGATACGGCCAATTTCATGTCATAGTCTCCTCCTCTGTCAAAGCATGGTTTGTATCAATACCAAGAGATCATATCGAACTGGGTACCACACAAGTCATTTACATATATTTCAAAGAAACTCTCAAAGTTTACATCAATAGGAAACTCGTAGCATCGACCATGGAACACGTTACCCACCTTGATACGTCTCGTGAAATGAAGAGCGTATTCTATTTTGGGAAGTCCTTTACAACACTGACACCAGGACGCCACCTACAATGTGTCCTCAAAGCCATACACATCTGGTACCAGGGCATCGACATTGTCTCACAGTGTGAGTATGTCCAACATTGATAAATATGTGCAATTAAGAGAAGAATCTTTCACAGCACATTCACAAGCAAAGGCAATTGAATCGACATTACTAATTACAATGTATTTCTCGTCATAACATGTAAACTTTAGTTATTTATCTAATTATTTATTGAACGGAACTTTTACGAAGTTGTTGCCTTACAGTGACAAGCACCCCTGCAGTTACATCCTCGTCAGACCTTTGTCCAGTCGGCTGCATCTCACTAGGTAGGTAGCGACCCATTTCTATTGCAGTGTCAACACCAATACCACCAGTTGGCACTTTATTTGGGTATAAACTGTCCGTAGAACAAGGTAACAGTTGAGTGACATACTCACATATTACAATGCATGTCCCCTGTTTGGATTCCCACTAAGAAAGACCCAATGTAACCAATGTGTGCTGTAAGAGGCAATTGAAATGGATCGGTGAGGCTCGGTGGCACAGTGGATTGCGTGCTGTTGTAACCTATTGTGGCTGTGGACGTTGTTCATAATATCAACCACTGGTTGTCAGGCTCTCACTAATTTAAAGTTGCAGTGTTATAGGTGACTAGGTTTTCTTAAGTTCATTAGGAATGGTATATCAGAATGCACAAATGCATTGTACATGTGTCTGTTGTTCAAATGTAGAAATATTTGTGAAAACCCGTTTATATATGTTCACATTTTAGCATCAAAATCAATGCCAGAAACTACACAACGAATGACGTTTCCTCCTACAAATCCACCAACAACGACAGCTCCTACTACTCACGCTGTAACAACTACCACCACGCAGACACGGACAACACAAGACATCGGTGTCCCGCCATTTAATGTTGATCTAACAGTAATACCAATCGTTGACATGACCGGCACATACTTGGCCTGTAGACTGTCCACCTACACGACTCTGAATGTCTTCATCCAGTTCCAGTGGATCATTGATGGCGTGCCTCAGGCGTTGAAAGAAGTGCAGACTCCCGTCGCTGAGGGTAGACTCTATATCACGGAGATCAGCAATGTCAGGGATAACCTGTATGATAAAGAGGTAAGTTGTGACTCGCATCCTGAAATTATGGCTATTGATTCGTGATTGGATGCTTGAATTTTATGTACCTGAATTTTTTTTCGGATGAACGTTTTAATGTCTGTATAATTTACAGATAGTCTGCAAAGCCAAAGCCAAATTCACAGCAGGATGGCAGTGGACACAATACCTCACCTCCAAAACACCGTTTATTCCATCTATTACGGTACGTGTATATTGTCACAGTTATATTCAAGTCAACATACCTGTTATATAAGCAATTTGTTTTAACACAGACGTCGGTTTTATAAGAATATGCTATATATGCTCTGAACATACTTGTTTCTTTGCAACTTTTTTCAGTCGCTGACGTCAACGACGGCACACCTCACTTTGACAGAAGGTCAGCAGGTCAGGCAAATAGAGGTGAAATCCAACTGTCCACCACAACTGTTCTGCACGCTTACAGACAAAGGCAACTGCAAGGTAGAGGTGGTCGCCAGTCTGGTGAAGCATCCGTTGGACCACCTGTGTACCCGGGATATTGTGCTTCCCCAGATTGTGATTCAGTCGTTCGGGAACACGCCTAACACTGATGTGTGCGGCAAGGGCTTGAACTCCTCCAACTGGAAGAACACAATCCAGATTCCAATGAAAGCCACCATTGATGGACTGTATGATCATGACCAGACGCGAGATATAATGGTCAAGCTAAAGACAACAGGGGCACTCAAGGAGTCAATGTATAAGACAATAACGACATACAAGGTAAAATAACGAAACGAATACTTGTCCCTTCCAACTTTTCTTTTTGTGACATTAATTGACCATTAATTGAATTGAATGATTCTGTATAAGGTGAAGGCAAAGGATTTCGACAAGTCTGCCCTGTGTGCCTCGCTAAATGACCCGCACATCACTACTTTCGACGGACTGTAAGTAGCAATGATACATTACTTGTCTATCACTTTGTCTTGTTTATGAACTACCTGTTTACAAATATTGAGGAGATGCCAGATTTATTACAATATGCGATATATTGTTGTTGCGTGATGCATTTCGTCATCAACTAATACATCATGTGTTATATTGTTGTTGCGTGATGCTATTGCCTTGAACTAATACATTATGTGATATATTTATTGTGTAAAGCATTTTGTCATGAAGTAATTCAATATGTGATATATTGCTATTGTGTGATGCATTTTGTGAAATAATCTATTTTGTGATATATTGCAGACACTACAACAACTTTCAGCGTGGAGAATTCATATTGTACAAGCATAAAACATTGCCTTATGAGGTAAACAGACACTATATCTACTGAACGATGGGAACATTTAGCCTGCATGTTCTACACAACACACATAAACTAACTGGTCCTGAAGTGTTCAAATTTAGTTTTCATTTACAATATTCTGTATTGTACAGTTGCAGTCCAAACGTTTAAGACTGCCTCTAGTAGTAGAGCGTCCGCTCGGAGAGCAGACGGTCCGGGGTTCGATCTCCGGCCTCGTCATACCAAAATACGGTACTTGTTGTTACCCTGCCTGGCGCTCGGCATTCAGGGGCTAAAACAAAGAGTGGTGGGCTTGGAGTCAGTGTACTGTGTCTGAGTGGGGTGTTCATGTTACACTGCGGCACGGTGCCTCAGTGGACTAGCACTATAAAATCGGGTTAGTCCGGACTAGTACTAGCAGCCACACACACACGCAAATGAATGCACGTCGCTATATAAGTGCAACAATTCTTGAACGCAACGTTAAACCCCACTTCACCTCACCACCAAACGTTGAAACATTACGCAAAGGGGTTACCATCTTTAAATTACTTCTGAACTGTATTTTTAAGGGAACTTTCAGAACTGACACACTTTGTTTCTCAAGGTTCGGACAAGTTACCAGGTCTGCAGTTCTCGCAACTCAAGGGGTCCTACTTGCAACTGTGCAGTTGCAATCAAATCTGGAGATGACGTCATAACGTTTACAGGATGCCATGGCCAAGCTCATCGCACCTATTACAGTCGATTCTTCCACCACACACCCAGCATAACGGTGGAAATGTACAAGAACGGCGACCTCACCCCCGGAACCACTGTCAGGAGAATTGGGTGTGGTCACAAATATGAAGTACGTGTCACACTTCTAGTTTAGTTCCACTACCCTAATTCTATACCCTCTATAATTCCGTGAACATAATGCACGCAGAACGCGTCTTCGAAAACTCATTTGAAGAGCTCCATTCATTATGCCTAGAAGTGAGATTGACCAATTAGAGAGCAGAACTACTAACCCCACATGAGCCGTATACCGTCAGTTAAAATCCAAGATGGTTGTTACTGACCTAATATGAGACCCTATACCGTCAGTAACAGCCATTTTGTATTTTCCAACACCCACGTCACATATTTCACATGAAAATTCTGGTACAGAAATTCGTTATTCAACAGTGTTCTGTGTTTTAATATCATTAATTTTGATGTGCAAGGACGTTAATGACTTTTATAAAGATTATATGAAGTCGAATTTTTTTATCAACAAGGTTTGGTCTCTGGGGTTTGAAGAGTAGTCTCCCTTTGATCCTTAGCGTCTTTCGTTGTAAGACTAGAGTGTAAATTTTTCGGCATAATAAATTCGTTATGGTGCCTTTAGTTGCCGTATACGGTGTCATATTAGGTTAGCAGGAAAACGTTTTTCGGCTAACCTAATATGACACCGTATACGGCAACTAAAGACTCCATAACTAATAATATCTGATAATGGTTGTCACGTGTTAATGTTATGTGAACATTAACATACGTTAAATGTAAGATGTTATCTGACATGTATTCTGTGAGTGCCAACTCACTAAACCAATATTATTGGTATCTGGTCTGCACTTGTAATGATCACAGTTTACGGATTAAACCTTAAGCCGTTGACACTGTATGTGTTATCACCAACATTAAAAAATCTGCACTATTTTAATACAGGGCCACAAACGTGTGACAATAACATTCCAAAATAAAAGTGTGTAGAAAGGCTCATTAAATCTGTCTGGCCAAGCTTAGATATGCATTCATCTGACTGTGACATTTGTACAAAAAGTGGGTACCATGTTCAGAGATAACGAGGTAGTTTTGTACACCACACGTAATTGATTTGCGTAAGTTACATGGTATCCACGTGTAGTTTTAGTCACTGATAATTTCCCAAATGAGAATATATTTTCTATTGCATTTAGAGACAACCTTCTCATTATAATGTACATGTAAAGTAGCTTGTTACATATACCAAAGGAGAAAAGAAGGATTGACATGATTCGTGGACACCGTAAACAATTTTGCAATATAGCAGTTTGTCCACCTGATAAACCAAAAGGGTAAGACATCTTCTTCCTTTCTGTTTCAAGTTATTTGGCAGATATGTTATTAAAATTGAAGCCAAGGCAAGGGTGAACAGGTGAATATAATATTATGGTGTAATTGTGTCTGTTACTGTGGCCAATTATTGACATACTCCAGGACCAGGAGTGGTACATAAATACTGATACGCTGATGTTTCCTTGAAGGTGCATCTGCCCACAGGGACCATAGTGACGGTCCAGTCTAGCTACCTGTCCTTCATCAATGTCTGGGTCAGACCATCCTCCCTGGACTTCGGACAGTCTGAAGGTTCGGAATGTGTCTACATAGTTAATGATTTTTAGTTGTTCGATGTTCAGCTGTGGGTCCTGCTAATTATGACAGATGTAATGGCATATTATCGAAGACTCTTTCATATGCTGAATACGAGCTTGCAATAAGTTTTGTTAGCTGCGACAATATCAGTACATAAACGACACATGCATACGTCACTTGATATGTATTCTAGTGTTTCATCATATCTATTTCTGAACCTAAATTAAATATATTGATGGGTTTTGTGCAATGTTATAGTTCATATATCAATGTAGATATTACTTTGTCCTCAAACTGTTGTATATTGCTATGCCCACACGTGCAGGGTTGTGCGGTAGCTACACGGAGAGTAAGCATGATGATCTGTATGGCGCTGACCACAGGACCTACACCGTCAAACAAACTCCGGACGAATTCTCCAAAACATGGCTGTAAGACTATTTCTGAAACATTTCTGTACCCACGATACTAATATAAGCCGTGGGAACTTTATGACAATACATGGATGGGTGAGGAGTTGCGTTACATGAGGAAAACTTATAAAGTTGTCGATCGTTCATGTTTTCACTCACGCATGCCCATACCATAAATATATCATATACTTTAATATTAAAATATCCGACCTGAATACATATATACATCCTGGAGATGTCGGTTCTTGTATTAGTGGCTCTACGCGGTGTGTGTCTGAAACAACCCGTCTCTTTCCACGTGAATACCCACGATGAGGAGAGAATGAAATAGATATCCTGATGATACTTATCTGAAAATGAAAATATATGGCAGTAGTGATCTTGCGTAGAGCTTATCATAGACTAGTGAATAGTACTTGTTTAATCTCAGGGTGTCTGAGAGGAACACCATGTTTCACGGTGTCACGGCTCAAAAGACCACATCGGAAACATATTGCAGCTGTGTTGAAGGGAGGCAACTTTACTGTGCTCCTCATCTCGACATCTTCAGGTGCACCTCTATGTCATCTAGTAAGTGAACCACTCATAAAATATATCACATGTCTCTGCGACGTGAGCACACTCTGTTCACGTGTGGTACCATCTAAACTTGACATTCCTTTCAACTTTACCTTAATCAATGGTATTCTTTTAAATCGTGTTTACAATATTTATTTTTTGGATGTTGAATACGCTATTTTACTGTGTTTGTATTTCATTTCCATTTGCATTATGCAACAATTTCAGGGGACGATATTACAGCCACCTTGGTGCGACAGGCCAAGCTTCCAAGCGCAGCCTTCCGCCGCTTTAAGAGAGAAGCACCCATGCAGACTGAGCCTTTGGAGGAGGTAGGTACCGAGCAGTGACCATGCAGACTGAGCCTTTGGAGGAGGTAGGTACCGAGCAGTGACCATGCAGGCTGGGCCCTTGGAGGAGGTAGGTACTGAGCAGTGACCATGCAGACTGGGCCCTTGGAGGAGTTAGGTACCAGGCAGTGACCATGCAGGCTGGGCCCTTGGAGGATGTAGGTACTGAGCAGTGACCATGCAGACTGGGCCCTTGGAGGAGTTAGGTAGCGAGCAGAGACCATGCAGACTTAGCCCTTGGAGGAAGTAGGCACCAAGCAGTGACCATGCAGACTGAGCTCTTGGAGGAGATAGGTACTGAGCAGTGACCATGCAGGCTGAGCCCTTGGAGAAGGTAGGTACCAAGCAGTGACCATGCAGACTGAGCTCTTGGAGAAGGTACGTACTGAGCAATGACCATGCAGACTGAGCCCTTGGAGGAGGTGTAGGCAGCGAGCAGTGACCATGCAGACTGAGCCCTTGGAGAAGGTAGGTACCGCGCATTGACCATGCAGACTGGGCCCTTGGAGAAGGTAGGAACTGAGCAGTGACCATGCAGACTGAGCCCTTCCAGGAGATAGGTAGCGAGCAGTGACCATGCAGGCTGAGCCCTTGAAGGAGGTAGGTACCAGGTAGTGACAATGCAGACTGAGCCCTTTGAGGTGTAGGTAGCGAGCAGTGACCATGCAGGCTGTGCCCTTTGAGAAGGTAGGTACCGAGCAGTGACCATCGGGCTGGGCCCTTGGAGGAGGTGTAGGCAGCGATCAGTGACCATGCAGGCTGAGCCCTTAGAGAAGTTAGGTACCAAGCAGTGACCATGCAGACTGGGCCCTTGGAGAAGGTAGGTACTGAGCAGTGACCATGCAGGCTGAGCCCTTGGAGAATGTAGGTACCGAGCAGTGACCATGCAGACTGAGCCCTTGGAGAAGGTAGGTACCGAGCAGTGACCATGCAGGCTGGGCCCTTGGAGAAGGTAGGTACCGAGCAGTGACCATGCAGACTGAGCCCTTGGAGAAGATAGGTACCGAGCAGTGACCATGCAGACTGGGCCCTTGGAGAAGGTAGGTATCAAGCAGTGACCATGCAGACTGAGCCCTTTGAGGAGGTGTAGGTAGCGAGCAGTGACCATGTAGGCTGAGCCCTTGGAGGAGGTAGGTACCAGGCAGTGACCATGCAGACTGGGCCCTTGGAGAAGGTAGGTACTGAGCAGTGACCATGCAGACTGGGCCCTTGGAGGAGATGTAGGGAGCAAGCAGTAACCATGAAAGACTAGAAACTGCATGTCTTACTTGAACTTAATAACAGTGCAGTTGATGTAATGGCATTATATTTTTATACCTCTTCACCTGCAGGATACAGCTGAGAACACATACACCGAGCAGTCAGCCCACACTTTCTGTGAGGACTACATCAACAACCAGACTGCCACCAAGGCATGTGTGGACTTTGTCAGTGTCACCGATGACCTCATCAAAGAGTGTGCACAGGATCTGGTGGTAAGTATGTCTGTGTCACTGCTGACCTCCCAGAGGAGAGAAGCCTGGTCTCCTGGTAACTATGTCTGTGTCACTGCTGACCTCCCGGGGGAAAGAACACAGGGTCTGATGGTAACTATGTCTGTGTCACAGCTAACCTCCCAGGGGAAAGAATACAGGGTCTGATGGTAACTATGTCTGTGTCATGGCTAACCTCCCAGAGGAAAGAATACAGGATCTGGTGGTAACTATGTCTGTGTCACGGCTAACCTCCCAGAGGAAAGAAAACAGGGTCTGGTGGTAACTATGTCTGTGTCACGGCTTACCTCCAAGAGGAAAGAATACAGGGTCTGATGGTAACTATGTCCGTGTCACGGCTAACCTCCCAGAGGAAAGAATACAGGGTCTGATGGTAAATATGTCTGTGTCACGGCTAACCTCCCAGAGGAAAGAATACAGGGTCTGATGGTAACTATGTCTGTGTCACGGCTAACCTCCCAGAGGAAAGAAGCCTGGTCTTATGGTAACTATGTCTGTGTCACTGCTGACCTCCCGGGGGAAAGAACACAGGGTCTGATGGTAACTATGTCTGTGTCACAGCTAACCTCCCAGGGGAAAGAATACAGGGTCTGATGGTAACTATGTCTGTGTCATGGCTAACCTCCCAGAGGAAAGAATACAGGATCTGGTGGTAACTATGTCTGTGTCACGGCTAACCTCCCAGAGGAAAGAAAACAGGGTCTGATGGTAACTATGTCTGTGTCACGGCTAACCTCCAAGAGGAAAGAATACAGGGTCTGATGGTAACTATGTCCGTGTCACGGCTAACCTCCCATAGGAAAGAAACAGGGTCTGATGGTAAATATGTCTGTGTCACGGCTTACCTCCAAGAGGATAGAATACAGGGTCTGATGGTAACTATGTCTGTGTCACGGCTAACCTCCAAGAGGAAAGAATACAGGATCTGGTGGTAACTATGTCTGTGTCACGGCTCACCTCCAAGAGGAAAGAATACAGGTTCTGGTGGTAACTATGTCTGTGTCACGGCTAACCTCCCAGAGGAAAGAATACAGGGTGTGATAGTAACTATGTCTGTGTCACGGCTAACCTCCCAGAGGAAAGAAAGAGGGTATTGTGGTAACTATGTCTGTGTCACGGCTAACCTCCCAGAGGAAAGAATACAGGGTGTAATGGTTACTCTGTCAGTGTCACTGCTGACCTCCCAGAGGAATGAATACAGGGTCTGATGGTAACTATGTCTGTGTCACGGCTAACCTCCCAGAGGAAAGAAAGAGGGTCTTGTGGTTACTATGTCTGTGTCACGCCTAACCTCCCAGAGGAAAGAATACAGGGTCTTATGGTAACTATGTCTGTGTCACGGCTAACCTCCCAGAGGAAAGAATACAGGGTCTGGTGGTAACTATGTCTGTGTCACGGCTAACCTCCCAGAGGAAAGAATACAGGGTGTGATGGTAACTATGTCTGTGTCACTGCTGACCTCCCAGAGGAAAGAAGCCTGGTCTTATGGTAACTATGTCTGTGTCACTGCTGACCTCCCGGGGGAAAGAACACAGGGTCTGATGGTAACTTTGTCTGTCACAGCTAACCTCCCAGGGGAAAGAATACAGGGTCTGGTGGTAACTATGTCTGTGTCACGGCTAACCTCCCAGAGGAAAGAATACAGGGTCTGATGGTAACTATGTCTGTGTCACGGCTAACCTCCCAGAGGAAAGAAAGAGGGTCTTGTGGTTACTATGTCTGTGTCACGCCTAACCTCCCAGAGGAAAGAATACAGGGTCTTATGGTAACTATGTCTGTGTCACGGCTAACCTCCCAGAGGAAAGAATACAGGGTCTGGTGGTAACTATGTCTGTGTCACGGCTAACCTCCCAGAGGAAAGAATACAGGGTGTGATGGTAACTATGTCTGTGTCACTGCTGACCTCCCAGAGGAAAGAAGCCTGGTCTTATGGTAACTATGTCTGTGTCACTGCTGACCTCCCGGGGGAAAGAACACAGGGTCTGATGGTAACTTTGTCTGTCACAGCTAACCTCCCAGGGGAAAGAATACAGGGTCTGATGGTAACTATGTCTGTGTCACGGCTAACCTCCCAGAGGAAAGAATACAGGGTGTGATGGTAACTATGTCTGTGTCACGGCTAACCTCCCAGAGGAAAGAAAGAGGGTATTGTGGTAACTATGTCTGTGTCACGGCTAACCTCCCAGAGGAAAGAATACAGGGTGTAATGGTAACTCTGTCAGTGTCACTGCTGACCTCCCAGAGGAATGAATACAGGGTCTGATGGTAACTATGTCTGTGTCACGGCTAACCTCCCAGAGGAAAGAATACAGGGTGTAATGGTAACTCTGTCAGTGTCACAGCTAACCTCCCAGAGGAAAGAATACAGTGCCTGGTGGTAACTATGTCTGTGTCACGGCTAACCTCCCAGAGGAAAGAATACAGGGTCTGGTGGTAACTATGTCTGTGTCACGGCTAACCTCCCAGAGGAAAGAATACAGGGTCTTATGGTAACTATGTCTGTGTCACTGCTGACCTCCCAGAGGAAAGAAGCCTGGTCTCCTGGTAACTATGTCTGTGTCACTGCTGACCTCCCGGGGGAAAGAACACAGGGTCTGATGGTAACTATGTCTGTGTCACAGCTGACCTCCCAGAGGAAAGAATACAGGGTCTGATTGTAACTATGTCTGTGTCACGGCTAACCTCCCAGAGGAAAGAATACAGGGTCTGATTGTAACTGTGTCTGTGTCACTGCTGACCTCCCAGAGGAAAGAATACAGGGTCTGATGGTAACTATGTCTGCGTCACGGCTGACCTCTCAGAAGAAAGAATACAGAGTCTGGTGGTAACTATGTCTGTGTCATTGCTAACCTCCCAGAGGAGAGAAACTGGTCTGGTGGTAACTATTGTCTGTGTCACGGCTAACTTCCCAGAGGGAAGAATACAGGGCCTGATGGTAACTATGTCTGTGTTAAGGCTAACCTCCCAGAGGAAAGAATACAGGGTCTGGTGGTAACTATGTCTGTGTCACTGATGATCATGTCCTGAGCGAAACATGGAACTGGACAGTGTACATTTGGAATGTGTGACCAAGCCAAGTCATCGAACACTTATTGTCTTTCATATAGAAACGGTCCTCATGTATCATTTCATTCCAAAAAAGTGCATGCAGGCTTACATTAAACTAGGACCTTTTGTTATTCGGGATTAGTCTCTATTTTGGTTTAGTTTTAGTGTTTCTAAGGCAACAATTTGTACTTTGGTTCAAGTGAGGATATGGATAGTTTTCGAAACCTAACTCGTCAGTCGTTTATCATTGCTTCTGAAACATTGTATGCACATCAGGCAAGTGCTGAACTGGTGTCTTTGGTTTATTAGAATTGTTTCTATTTTTGGCGCGTTCCCAAGGCAACGGGCAAAGTTAGTAGGGATCGTTTCCTGGGCATCAGTCATTTTCTGTTTCTTATTTCTTTATGAAAGTTTGTATATACATCTCGCAAGTGCGTCGCTCTAATATCGTACATAATAGAACCCTTTCGGAATTAAGTTGATTGTATGACATCACACCCTGATAGAGTGGCAATGTTTATTAAAGAAATATGTTTATTTTTTCTATTTTGTTGACGAATTATGATTTTGAGTTTTGTAATACTGTAATATGTAAAACTGATATCAAATGAAAAGGTGTGTCTATCTCAAAGTCCAATTACTAATTCACACATTTAAAATGACATGTATTACAAATGTGATTGAATTCATTTGTCCCAATTTGAGATTAAAGATGATAACCTTTTAATTTCCTTCCTATTTAGATTCCTTATACATGTGTTAGGAAATGTTTGTTTGTTGTTTAACGTCGAACTCATGACATCATGGGCATCGATCCAAGCAATTCGGATACGATAACATGCATCAACCAAGTCAGCAAGTCTGACCACCCGCTCCCGTAAGTCGCCTTTTACGGCAAGCATGGGTTGCTGAAGACACATTCTGTACCCTATTCACGGGTCTGTTAGAATATGCGAAGTGTGTAGAGTATATACTATTCTATCTTCTCCAGGCAACAGGTGAAACGGAGTGGGCACAGTCTCATTTGGACGATATAGTAACCAGGTGTATCAGTGAGGCAGAGCGCAATGTCAGTATGTGGAATAGAGCAGACAACTCCACTATTTGGGAGAATATACCAAAGGACATCATGACTAACCTCTGCCCTACCGAATGTATCCATGGCAACTGCTCAGAAGGTGAGACTTTCTTACAGCCCCGTGGACTAAGCCACCGGCAGCGCGTGGGTACAAACAGGTATGTTTATTTGATGAAATAAAAGACATAACCCTTATACATGTTGTATTTATTACCCACGTTAACACATGACACAAGTGCTCGATATGTCGCATGTTTGTTTCAGATTAGAAAAATAGAGCAGTAATAGAAGCAGTAGTAGTATGATATGTTATGAACGTAATATAGGACTATTTTCGTATCCCTTGTAATCCACTATTTCTCTAATCGCTGCCATGCAGATGGTTGTATGATGTTCTCCCGAGGCAATGAAGTTAACTGACTGTAAAAGTCCAGTTTCCATCCTTACCGAACTAGGCTGGAATTTCTGGGCTCGATCGTAGCGCCACCGTTGGATATTACGAGTTATTTTCCTTCTATGTCCCTCCTATTGACCAATCATATTCCCCCTCTTATAGCACTTGCATTTGCTCCAAACAAAATGGCGGCGCCCAGTGAAAACGATCTGATCGATAATCAAGATCTATATTGTAATAAAGCGGGTCTTACTTCGCGAAGTGCATCAAATCAGGTGAGTATATTGAATAAAAACATGAAAAGATTTGAAAAAATTCTGTTGGAGCTAACCTGACGGTACACATGTTTTGCAAATCTTTCAAACGACCGAAATCTGCACGGCAGTTTACGAACTGGATGTCGATTTCGTTACGCGTTTTTGCTTGGACTCTGCATAGACTCGTTAGTCCAGCCAAAATAAAACTCCATAATTCCAGCCTAGTTCGGCAAGTGTGGAAAGTGGACTTTATAGTCAATTAACTCACTTGCCTCGGGAAGATGTGTATGATGCCCCCCTCCACCAAGACCAACGCACTCACTCTCTACCTATTGTTTCAGGTGCGTGTGTATGCGAGGATGGGTACACGGGGCTGAACTGTTCCCTCAGCAAGGATGTCAAACCAGCCATATTGCCAGTGAATGAAGACGGCGCAGGCTGCAACATTAACCACGTGGACTGTTCACAGATTACTATCATGGGATTAAACTTTGTTGACAGTTACACCCTCAGCTGCTTTTATCAACCCATAAAGGTAAATAGAGCGGACTTGAACCTTTCTGAGAGGGCAGTGGGGCAGCTTTAATATACACAGCCTGTTGGAAAAGGGTTGAAATGGTTCACATTTATTTTATCAAATCTTCCCGAAACCACCACTGTTAGCTTCTCGTTCCGCCTTGATGTATATAATGTGGCGACGGTTTAGATAAAAATCGTTTTCACGCCAGTGTCAAGGTCGCGGCTGCCTGTGTCAAGTGGCGCATACATACCTCGGAATGTTGAAGACTGGCAAAAGGACATTGTACCATGACTTTATAGAATCCTGCATGACTACATTTATTCTAAAGCACTTCTTTCGCAAACGTGCTCTTTGGACAATTTCAGATACGGATATTACTTTAGTAACGTTGCTGAATATGTTGCGGTGCTTACATTAGTTACAGCAAGTGTGGCAATATGTTCCAGGCTGAACACTGGATCAACAGATACATTGAGAGTGCATTGAATAACTCAATTATGTATGCAATTTATAACCAATCTTAACCGAAGTCTGAATTCGCTCTTTCAACTTACTGAAAATACACTACCCTTTTCATTTCCGATGTGGCCAGAGTTCGCGTTTGTTTTGTCATTCTGTCATGATAGAATGGCAATAATTGTACATGTTTCTAACTTTTAACTTAAAAACACTAGTTTCATTCCCTAATTGGAGTTACAGAGGAATCAGTGTCAGCAATAGTTAAATGGCTTTCATTTACAAATAACTCACCTTTTCTCGTGACTTCCCTTACGCAGGTGACATCCCACGTGGTGGTGACTGACCAGTGGATCCCCGCCCCAGCCACGTTCCTCAGCATGTACCAGGTAGTATGTACCCTCCCCAGCCCCCCTCACAGCGCCAGGGTAGCGGTCAGTAACAACGGTCAGCAGCGCAGTGACCAGACCTATCTCCATGTTGTGTATGATGACTGTCATACATGTGACATCAATGAGGAGGGGACTGAAGCTTCATGTAGCAGAAAGGTTTGTTAGCGGACATAAAACGTATAGGCCTCGTTTTATTTTATTGAGATATACCTTCCTATCATTGACAACATGTACCATTTCCAAGTATCGCACCACCAAATTTGACGTGAAATTGGGAGTTCATTTACAATGTAGGGATTCTAATGGTACACTCTGTGTTGACACATCATCTGCCTGTAGAATGGTAGCCACCTTATCTGCCCAACCTTATTGTGCATTTATGCGAGCCACCTTATCTGCCCAACCTTATTGTGCATTTATGCGAGCCGTATGCATACATAATGGGTCTCTAAAGAGAAACTCATGTTTGATAAACAGAAAATTCAGTTTACTGTTAAGTTTGAAGAAAAGTTCTACCCATTCCAAAGTCTGTCTTTGGAACGATTGTAAGTGAAATGCCTGAGCGTACTATCCCAGAAACTCAAAGATGGCAAATCATTGGTATGCACCAAACTGGCATGTCATATCAGACTATTGCCCGTGTTGCTGAGATCAGTACGTTCACGGAAGACCAGTGCCTTGTACGCAAGGGCAAAACGGCTGCCATCTTCAACGTAAACTGTTCTTCGTCATTACTGGCATACCCACAACAGGGTGTCTCTTAGCACCATCAGGCGTCGACTGAATGCAGCAGAAGACCAGAAGACCAATAAGACGTCCACTGCTCTGTCCCCCGCCCCCTAAAAAAAACCCCTAAAAAAACAAAAACAAGAACAAAAAACCCAACAACAACAACCAAACAAAACAAAAAACAAAACAAAACAAACAAACAACAAGAGTCATCCGAAGATGACATATCCCCCCGACGTGGCATTTCGGTAAACTGTGTGTACCTTCAAATGAATTAAGATTGGCAATGAAATCTTTTCGCCTGATGCCAAAACCAGAAATATAATGAAGGTTATTAAATATTGGTTCATGTAGCAAATTAAAAAGATTAAAATCTATAAATAACAAACTGCACTACTAGTGAACATGATTGATAAGTGCATAAAGTTTGGTGAATTTCTGTCGCATGGTTTAGAAGGTATGCTCCGGACGAGGACATTACCCTAAGTTCATCAATTTTCAATTTAAATTGAAAAAAGAAAAAAAAAGAAAAAAATCTGTTAATAGCAAAGGCACCACTACATAACCTGCTTGATAGGTGTAAAAACTTTTGAGAAGCTACGTTGTATGGTTTACGGAGATATGGTCCGGACAAGAGCACTACACTTAAATTTCCTAATTTAATCATATTTCTATGGAAACGACAAAAATATAAAATTCTAAAAATCTCTTAATAGCAAAAGGCACTTCTACTGAGCCTGATTGTTAAGTGTACAAAGTTTTGCGAAGCTAGGTTGTACGGTTTAGAAAATATGCTCTGGGTAAGAGCAGTACCCTCAAATTTCCTAAGTTCATAATATTTCCATGGAAACGACAAAAATAAAAGATTCTAAAAATCTCTAAATAGCAAAAGGCAATTCTCCTGAGCCTGATTGGTAAGTGTACCAAGTTTTGGGAAGCTAGGTTGTACGGTTTAGGAAATATGCTCCGGACAAGAGCGCTACCCTCAAATTTCCTAATTTCATATTTCCATGGAAACGACAAAAATAAAAAATTCTAAAAATCTCTAAATAGCAAAAGGCACTACTACTGAGAATGATTGTAACGTGTACTAAGTTTTGTGAAGCTAGGTTATACGGTTTCGGAAATATGCTCCGGACAAGAGCACTACCCTCAAATTTCTTAATTATACCCCCGTTTACGAAGTAAGTCGGGGGTATATAGCGTTCCGTTCTTCCGTCCTTCCGTCCGTCCATCCGTCCTTCCGTCCGTCCGTCATTCCGTCCGAGCTTTTGTACGGCCAATAACTTTTTAACCATGCACCCTAGCTTCACCAAACGTTCTACACACATTAACCACAATGAGTACTTGTGCCTTTTGCTAGTTTGAAGATTCTGATTTTTTAATTTTTGCCGTTTCCATGGAAACATCAGAAACTTAAACTTTTAGGTTGGGTGTTTTGAACGGCCCATAACTTTTTAACCATGCACCCTGGCTTCACCAAACTTGCTACACACATTTACCACAATGAGTACTTGTGCCTTTTGCTAGTTTGAAGATTCTGAACTTTTTAATTTTTGCCGTTTCCTTGGAAACATTAAGAAACTTAAACTTTTAGGGTGGGTGTTTTGTACGGCCTATATCTTTTTAACTATGCACCCTAGCTTCACTAAACGTTCTACACACATTAACCACAATGAGTACTTGTGCCTTTCGCTAGTTTGAAGATTCTGAATTTTTTAATTTTTGCCGTTTCCATGGAATCAGGGTGAAACATAAATTTTGGGTAGAGTTTTTGTACGATCCATGTATACAATATTATGTATCATAGCTTCAGCAAACTTGCTACATTAACCACTATGATTGTTTTTTATCTTTTATAAGATTCTGAAAGTTTTCTCTTTTGCTGTTTTCATGGAATCATGATGGAATTTAGAAATTTTGATGACTGGTTTTGTATAGCTAATATATTTTCCAAAATTGTTTCCACTCATGTAGATCATCATAAGTATCTGTGCATTGTGTCAGTTTGAATTTATGAATTCTTTACCATATCTGTTAAGGCTAGATGGAAATTATTAATTTATTGATTTTCTAACATGATATTGTTCCATTTTTTATGTGTTTTTATATCAACAATTTTTGGTCCTTTTGATAATTCTTCTTATGTAACTCCTCAATCAAATTTTTTTCCAAAGGTTTTCATGGTGATCCACTTCCTCGTAGTGAACACTGGTAACATGGGAGATTGGGGGTGGGGGTGGGGGGTAAATTGTCACTGGAACTCAATCTTAGTTTTTAAAACATTGAAGTTAAAATCAGTTAGAAATATGTAATATTTCATTAATTAACACACTATTTACTATTTGTTCTTGACCAGCGGGGATAGCGGGGGTATGTATGTGAGCTATCATATTTCCATGGAAACGACAAAAATATAAAATTCTAAAAATCTCTAAATTGCAAAAGGCACTACTACCGAGCCTGATTGGTAAGTGTACCAAGTTTTGTGAAGCTAGGTTGTACGGTTTAGGAAATATGCTCCGGACAAACAATGATTACAGACGGACGGACGGACAGACGGTCATACTGATGGCTATATTCCCCCGTAATTATATGTGTCAGGCTCGAACACTCTGGATGTTGAGGTCATTCAGAATGATTCGTTGGATTGTATTGTATTGGAAACAGCGGCTCAGTGATGGCATGGGGCATGTTTCCCCTTTGATTGCAAACTTGATCTGGTCACAGTTCAGGGGACATTAAATAGACAAAGGAATCAAGATAACATATTGGTTTTGTTATGTGCCACATTTTGATAACCATGCACTTGCCACACGTCCTGTCTTCATGGACAACAATGCCCGACCCCACCGAGCACGAGCTATGACTGACCATTTCTAGAAAAAACGCCATGGAGACTCTGCCATGGCCGTCTCGAAGCCCAGACCTGAATCCAATCGGGCATCTATTTGGTCCGGTGGGATGTAGGGTAGGGGGCCAGGGACTCTTCTCTAGTACAGAATCTCTAAGAATTGACCCAAATAGTGCGCGATGAGTGGCAACACATCTCCAAGAATTGACCCAAATAGTGCGCGATGAGTGGCAACATATCCCACAGTTGTGGACCAGGCGTCTGATTTTGAGAATGAGGAGACATATTGTGGAGGTAATCCGTGTATGGGGTGGCAACACCAGATATTGATTTACACGGATACAACGTTACTCAGACACGTACGTGTGGATCTGTCCATCTCATTCCTGACAGTTACCATACTTACACGGCCTCTATTTATCCCAATTGCTGTCCTTGTAGTCGCTGCCGAATAAAGTTAATTTGTCCCCTTATTCGTAATCATAACATCTTAGAGAGAGAGAGAGAGAGAGAGAGAGAGAGAGAGAGAGAGAGAGAGAGAGAGAGAGAGAGAGAGGAGGACGTATCGGGGTGGAATTTCATTGACGACACTATTCACCAAAGTACTCCACACTGCATGGATATCTAATCCGCCCCTGATAAACGAATAACAAACTATTGTTGCATCTTCGAAAATGCGAAGAAAGAGAGAGTTGACCAAGGCGTTGCATGTGTCCACACAGGCTGCCACGTGCCTCATCAATGGTGCCTGCTACCGGGAGGGCGACGGGATGCCAGGCGACAAGTGTCAGCTGTGTGACCCACATACCAATGAGGCGAACTGGACAAGAGGCACAGGTTCATGACAATTGTCATATGTGTTGAACTCATGTTACATGGTGTTACATACAGTCTAGGTGTACTGTAATAACAGTACAAGCTACATGGTGTTACATACCGTCTAGGTGTACTGTAATAACAGTACGTGCTACATGATGTTACATACCGTCTAGGTGTACTGTAATAACAGTACATGCTAGATGGTGTTACATACCGTCTAGGTGTACTGTAATAACAGTACGTGCTACATGGTGTTACATACCGTCTAGGTGTACTGTAATAACAGTACATGCTACATGGTGTTACATACCGTCTAGGTGTACTGTAATAACAGTACGTGCTACATGGTGTTACATACCGTCTAGGTGTACTGTAATAACAGTACATGCTACATGGTGTTACATACCGTCTAGGTGTACTGTAATAACAGTGCATGCTACATGGTGTTACATAACGTCTAGGTGTACTGTTGTAACAGTACATGCTAGATGGTGTTACATACTGTGAGGCTGTACTGTAATAACAGTACATGCTAGATGGTGTTACATACCGTCTAGTTGTACTGTAATAACAGTACATGCTACATGGTGTTACATACCGTCTAGGTGTACTGTAATAACAGTACGTGCTACATGGTGTTACATACCGTCTAAGTGTACTGTAATAACAGTACATACTACATAGTGTTACATACCGTCTAGGTGTACTGTTGTAACAGTACATGCTAGATGGTGTTACATACTGTGAGGCTGTACTGTAATAACAGTACATGCTAGATGGTGTTACATACCGTCTAGGTGTACTGTAATAACAGTACATACTACATGGTGTTAGATACCGTCTAGGTGTACTGTAATAACAGTACATGCTAGATGGTGTTACATACCGTCTAGGTGTACTGTAATAACAGTACATATGACATGGTGTTACATACTGTGAGGCTGTACTGAAATAACAGTACATGCTACATGGTGTTACATACAGTCTTGGCGTATCCTAATAACAGTACATATGACATGGTGTTATATACTGTGAGGGTGTATTGTAATAGCATTACATGCTACATGGTGTTACATACGGTCCAGGTGTACTGTAATAACAGTACATGCTACATGGTGTAACATACTGTGAGGCTGTACTGTAATAACATTACATATGACATAGTGTTACATACTGTGAGGCTGTACTGTAATAACAGTACATGCTAGATGGTGTTACATACCGTCTAGGTGTACTGTAATAACAGTACATGCTACATGGTGTTACATACCGTCTAGGTGTACCGTAATAACAGTACATGTTACATACCGTCTAGGTTTACTGGAATAACAGTACATGCTACATGGTGTTACATAGTGTGAGGGTGTACTGTGATAACATTACAGTAGACATGGTGTTACATACTGTGAGGCTGTACTGTAATAACATAACATATGACATGGTGTAACATTCTGTGAGGATGTACTGTAATAACATTACATCCAAATGGTGTTACATACTGTGTACTGTGGTGTGGTGTTGTACTGTAAAAAAGTTCAACGTCACACGTTATGCAGTACCAAGTCTCCATGCTCAACACCCAATTGATTTAGTCTCCTCTGCCTCCAAAAAAAAAGGTTATTTGTGACAAGATCCGATCCGGAATTACCACGAGGTAAAGCCCAGGAACACTGATATAAATATTAATGACGTGATATTTATAAACCTTAGCTCTTGCACATAGCCAGTGGACCAGTATCCTGTAAACCATGGTACGACATACTGACGGAAGGTGGAAGGTGAAATCGTCAGACTAGAATCAGAAAGTACATTTGCACCATTGTCTATTTTAGACCCTATTTGTACGGCCACCAAGCTGTCAGCTTCCGGTCAGACAGGAAATGGACTGAGCACGCCCACCATTGCACTTGCTGTCGTCGTCGCCGTCTGTGCTGTCGTAATCGTCGCTGGAGTTGTCATCATATGTAGGAAAAGGTACGGGGTACAGCAACAACTGAAGTATATTATCCGAAAATATCCACGGATGCCAGCGGTGGGTGGGCAGGATATGCTCACCTTTTCGCGAACACCTGGCACCATCAATATATGTAAGCGATTCATAAACACACGCTTATGATTTTAACGGAATCGTTCAACGAAGTCCGTTCTTAGCAGTGATATATTATGAAAGGTGAAAGGTGTGTGTGTGTGTGTCTGCGTGTACTAGTCCGGACTTATGTTGATTTATAATGCTAGCACACTGAGATACCATTCCGCAGTTTAACATGAATACCCTACTCACAACAGTATACGGACTCCGAGCCGACCAGTCCTTGTTTTAGCCCCTTAATTCCCCATCAACAACAACTACCATCTTTTAACGTCTTTTTGTATGATGCGGCATGCGATATAACCCTGGACCTTCCGCTCTCAAGGTGGACGCTCTACCATTAGGACGCGGAGACGGTCGATGACCTTATATAATAATAATATACAAAGATGTCTATACTGATATGCGAGAACACAGTCGCCGGTTCAAGTCATTATCTATTACATAAATACTCTCTACGTTGGGTGGACATTCCGTGAACGTTGATAGCCCAATCTGAATGAAGCCTGCTTGGCTCCTTAAGCCAATCAGCTGTCAGCTTTCTTAAACGAGTTTAAACCTCTACGATTTGGAAACGTTTATTTGTACTTATGAAAATCCACACCGAACACACATGTTCCTTCGATGGAACCCCCTTTTTCCGGGTGTGCATGACACGGCACTCGGAAACAAGAGCATGTATGAACTGTCCACAACAATATAATAGTTCCGCTATATTTTCTACCCTCTGAATTTGTAGTTTCAGTTGGTTTCGAGATGCTGAGATGATCTTTGAATTATTTGATCACTCGTACGGAAAAGTTAGAATCCTCGACACTGATTGGTAGATTAGAAGTTCTTCAGATCTACGTGCAGAGAGGTATCGTATCAGAGCAATAGATCTGATTTTGATGAGATTGCCCGCGTGTGATGCAAGTGGGATGATTTCACCGTGCTTTTGTACGTGCACTGTGGTGTTAGGAAAAGCTTATCCCGTGGTTCGCACATATACTTCCTACAGTACCAACACGAGGCTTTACCAATCGCCTAAATATTCATCTCCAACGTACATTGACCTATTATTATTGTTGTTGTTGTTGTTGTTGTTGTTATTATTATTATTATTGTTATTATTAGTGTTTGTTTCTTTGACAAATGTAAGTCACTACCAACTTTCTTTCTTTAACAAGCTTTCGTATGTACGTTCAATGAATAGAGAAACACTGAATGTAGGAGATACAATTGCGTATCTCTACATGTTTTCTCGCGTTTTATCATATAACGGGTAGGTTTCTCGGCAGAATAAAGCCAACGGATAAAAACGATATCTGTTGGGGTCATATGCGGATAGAGATGCAAATATCAAAAGTCAAGTAGGGACTACTTTCTGTGATTATAAACAAACGTGGCGTCGCACTTGTCATTCGGCGATCAAGTCAGAATTAACCATCGGAAATCTGGAGAAACAACTGGTATAATTGCTATCATTATCAGAGGAATAGTCTCATAAAGTGAAAGTTAATGTCTAACTGTGACGTATCTAAGGCACTGTACACGTTTTGACAACTTTGGAGATATAAATTGCGAAAAGGTTTTGCGAGGGCACTAGCCAAGCGGGATCAGTTTCCATATATGTGCTTGTAGACCTCTGCTGCTTGGAACCTTTTCGACAAATGAGAACTTTTGGATTTGGCCGAAATATGTTCGAATTGTTACCTTGTTTCGTTTTGTTGCTGTGTGTACATCTGACTGCACTTCGTAAAGTTATGACAGGACAGGCCGAGTATCAACAACGTTTGACTGTGGCCGTGACGTCTCATAGACTAGTGTTAGAGTAGCTTCCCTTAAAAAAAGGGCAGTTACTCTATCGGACAGATCAATGGATTGCCGCGTAAGGCAAGTAAAACCATTTGTGTAGGTAGTTGTTGTTTTGCATATATGTAGATGCGCCACTGTATAGTGAGAATGAGAGAGAGAGAGAGAGAGAGAGAAAGAGAGAGAGAGAGAGTGTGTGTGTGTGTGTGTGTGTGTGTGTGTGTGTTGAACAAGGCGTCGTTGCATGTGTCCACACAGGCTGCAACGTGTGTGTGTGTGTGTGTGTGTGAGAGAGAGAGAGAGAGAGAGAGAGAGAGAGAGAGAGAGAGAGAGAGAGAGCGTGTGCGTGTGTGTGTGAAAGAGGAATTTCATTGACGACACTATTCACCAGAGTACTCCACACTGCATGTATATCTAATCCGCCCCTGCTAAACGAATAACAAACTATTGTTGCATCTTCTAAAATGCGAATACACTCTCCGGTATCTCGCTTGCAGTCCTTTTCAATTTCAGTAATGAGCTCTTTGAATAGCTGATGACAATATGAGTCTGGACGATGTTGAATTTGAGTGTTATTTGCAGTTATGATCCACTGCGTGATTTAAACACGTTAATCGCTTTAGTAATTGAATTAGTAATCAAAATGAATAAGAGAGGCTATCTCTTACGCTTACTTAATAATATAATTATTTCGTGTCATTTATGCGTCAGAAAATGAATTTTCATTTGTACATCCGTATCGTGAGGGAAATGAAACGACCACGCTCATAAAAGATATCCATTCTATATATGTTATAATGTAACACTAATATAGCCCTTTCATGCCGCACTCAGGCAAGATAACATTGAATAGCTCGCCATAATGGATGTGTCTACAATATACCCAATTCCTTCAAGTTTTATGTCGTAATAATTATACATGGAAAGATAACACATCAATAGAAATCAATAGAAATTAACTCACACAGAGAAATCATCAGTATTTAATGGACGTCTAAAAAATAGAACCCATTTGGGTGTAGTTTTATAGTGACAAGGTATGCAGCTTTTTCTCCAGCCAATATTTCGTTTACCGATCAACCCATTAAAGACAATTTATTTCTGTACTCACCTCCCTAGTTTTAGACAAGGCGGTACTCCTGTGACGGCATTAACAAGATATGTCACTGTTGCATGACGGGTATTAGATCATACATTGGTCCTTAAATCTGTATAAACGATAGGAGTTAGAAATTAATCTAAGGGATATGTAATTAACACGACATTTATCAATAGTTCGCGAAGATTTAATTGCAATTGCGTCCTTTTTGGTTACATTTTATTGCTGTCATATCTCAGGTATGTCCATGTATTGCAATTAATGATGTCTCCAGCTATACGCGGCCACTGTGGACCGCCCATTATAAAAAACCCTTCAACTCTCTCTCATAATTCCAAATTCACCCTTCTTTTATCTCAAAGATATTGTCTCCGCTTTCGTATATACTACTTTCTCGGGCTAACGGAAGATTTAATTGAGCAATAAAGTATTGGCCGGGATCAAATGTCAAAGAAATAATTACTTCAAAGAAAGCTGGGATTTATCGCAATTATCCACGCACCGCGTTTCTTGGGAGATCAAAAAAGACTTGTTCCGAGCCGCGAGGCTTTTCGTATGGATTGCCCATACCTGAATCAATTTTACCTGGCTCAATTAGCGAGGCTTTTCAGTTTTTATCTTCCAGTTTTGAAGTTTCGGGGATCAGTTACAGGAAAGTAAACTGTGTAGTTATAATTAAAGGGCTTGCGCCTAGTTTCGATTTGCGGTACGAGCCCCGACTTTGAGAAGACGTGGGTAGTTCCGTGTGAGTGTCAATATTCCAGAGTAGTGAGCCAGTAAGCAGATGGAGACAGCATTACCGGCCCTAATGATCTCTTGATGCACACTGTTTAGTTAGACTTGGATGTTTATTGACTTTGTTTGAAAAATGTTGCGATCACTTTTATGTAACAATACCAAATTAATCAGGAATAATCGAGACATTTGTATCACAATATTTAAATATCCTATTTCAGAATTACTTCAGTGTGTTACGAAATCGCTGAGGTAATGATACACAGAGATTATTAACTGAGTGGTCTTCCGCATCATAACTATCATGTATAAGGAACACAAAGAGCGACGTTTGGTTAATTTAATCCATATTTTGCATTTCTAATATATCGTATTTAAGATACGGAAACACGCAAGTGTGATGATCCCAGTTTATCGTATAACGCTATTCTTACAGCATTTGTAAGACATTTCACTCAGTGAAATAAGTTTAGAAAATGCGAAACCTGTATTAGAGTGACCCGCCGAGTTGTTCAAATAGTGCCTAATGATTTGTAGCTGTGGTTGTTTACATAACACATTCACAATGCTCTCAAAGTATCAGCATCGATGTACGGAAATGAATAAAACTTTAAGTACTTTTCGATGGTTGACCTGACATGTATAGGATCGTTATCCCAAGTTCGTTATCGGATTGGTTCGCATCAATAACACTATCCATTATATTATGATGGACTAACATTTCTTTGTTTCCAACTGCATTATGTTTTCTTTTGTCGACTGTCCCATTGAGTAGTATGAATAGGCTCTTTACTGTGCGGTAGAAAACCATTCAACTGTCGGTACATTCGGATGGGTTGTTAGCTCATAGGAATAGTCATAGTTTTTTTTCTAGTTTGTTTAGTTTAGAGAAATACGCTGGTTAATAACAAGCAGCTGTTACAGAAAATCAACGATTCTATCTCATCATGTTGACAGACAGTAGATTTGAATTTTAAGAGAACGACCCTTCATATAGAGGCAGATATGTAGGTAGCTTCTATCTAATGGGGATTCTATGGCGCTTCTAGTCATCCAGCACGAATAAGCGACAAAACCATTTCCATGATCAAAAAGCATGTGTTTGTGAGTCACTGTCAATACAAGGTGTCCACGGAAAGGTGTATACCCAAGACTCTGATGCTATTAGAAGCTATTTAAGGACATCTTTCGAGGATGGCTACTGGGGCAGCCAGACCTGTGTATTTACAAGGACGTGAACACCGCTCTGAATTCTGT